ATCCAAATAGCAAGCGTCAGCATAATCGATCAAAGGTTGGATCAATGACTGCACGAGGAGAATCTTTGTTTTTAATGGTAAAAGAGTCTGGAGACGCTTCAGCGAGTGGAAAGAATAGTGGACTTTTCGACTGACCTCACTCACCTGGGAACCCCACGACAGGTACGAATCAATGTGCACGCCCAAATTCTTAGCAGTGTCAGTAAATGGGATCGCAGTTCCATCCAGACGCAAAGAATTAAGGGCAGAGATGTCTAGTGCATTGCGAAAGTATCTACTTCCGATAATCATGGCCTGGGATTTAAGCGGGTTAATTTGTAGGCCGAAGGACCTGGCCCACTCGGCGACCCTGTCCAAGTCACGATTCATCGCATCAATCGCAGTATTAGCCTCCGAAGGACTGAAGTGTTGGTAAAGCTGCAGATCGTCCGCGTAAAGATGGTAATTAGAAGTTATGACCCTGGAAACAGTATTGATAAAAACGGAAAAAAGAATAGGGGAAAGGACGCCACCCTGAGGCACACCAGTAGCAAGGTCACACCAATCGGAAAAGTTTTCATCCAAGCGAACCCGCTGACGGCGGCCCCGTAGGTAGGAGTCGAACCAGGATAAAGAGGAAGGAGAGAGGTTGTTGGCCTTCAGCACCCCCAAAAGGATATCAAAATCCACAGAATTGAAGGCAGAACTGAAGTCCAACAATACAAGAATTGTGAGTGATTTGTTATCCATTGCCCAGCGAATGTCATCAGTCACTTTAAGCAGAGCTGTAACAGTGCTATGACCGGGACGGAAACCAGACTGAAAGGGAGAAATAAGGTTATTAGTCGCTAAATATGAAGAAAGTTGCTTATGAACTAGATGTTCCATAACCTTTGAAAGAAAAGGGAGAATAGAGATAGGTCTATAGTGAGAAAGGGAGGAAGGATTATTGATTTTAGGCAACGGAATAATATGGGCCAACTTCCAGGAGGAGGGAAACGAGCAAGAGAATAGTGAATAGTTGAAAATGTGTGTGAGGATAGGGATTAAAAGATGGAGAATGGGGAAGAACATTCGAGAACATAGATTATCATTACCCACTGCAGAAGATTTAACAGCAAGCAATGACTTTTCTACGTCCTTTTCAGACACACAGCTGAGTTCAAAAGGAGAACAAGAAGGAAGAGATATGCATAGGAGGTGGGATAGGGTGTTAGATTTAGTTGAGCTATCAAGCAAAACTGGGGAGAGCGAGAAATGATTATTTAACGAGGCAAGATCTACACCATTGCAAACTGCAATAGGAGATTTACCGATACCCACAGATCGCAAAAATTTCCAAACATCCGCAGAGTCACGATTGACCAGGTTCTCGTCGAAATAATGCCTTCTAGCGTCCCTACACAGACGATTACAACGATTGCGTAGAACTTTATAATAAGCCAAGTTTTCGTCAGTAGGTCTACGCTTATATTTCTGTTTGGATCTGTCTCTGTGAGCCATAGCATCCTCGATAACAGAAGTGAGCCAGGGTGCTGGATTATGTTTCACTTTCACACGGCGCACCGGCGCATGCCTGTCAAATAAATCAAGCATGATTTTATTAAAAGAGTCGACCTTCGCGTTAGTATCCTCAGTATCAACCACAACTCGCCAGTCAATAAGGCCCACATCGCGCCGCAACGCCTCCAAATCCAATCGCTTATAGCTACGCAGATTCATGAATTGGGATCTCCGTTTAGGTGTCCGGATGCGGTAAGATAAGTAAATAAGGTCGTGGTAAGAGAAAGAAGCAGTCATTTGGCCATGATCGTCTACATGGTTAGGGGACGACACGATCATGAGGTCGAGCCAAGACGGAGGAGAGTTGGGAGAATGGTGAGTTGCTGAAAGAGGAAGTAGGTGAAGAATTCTGAAAAATCAATAGAAACTTTAGTATCTGTAAAACTGGGAAGAAAACCAGTTCTGCCGATAGAATTGGAAGAGAAATTGGTGAAATACTGCTTGCAAATGGAGGAAAATTAATATGGCGTCACCGCTTCTGATTTGAAACGAATGGCATTTCAATTAGCAATCAGAAATAATATTCCACATCCATTTTCACTGACCAAGAAGAAGGCGGGTAAAAAAATGGATGAAATAGTTTATGGCTCGTCATCCTGAGCTATCATTCCGCCAACCAGAGTCATTATCACGGGCTCGTGTTCAGGGTTTTACTGCAGAGAAGACTTTCTTTAACTTATTAAAACCTGAAATGCAGAAGATTAACTTCAACCCTAACAAAGTCTTTAATGTTGACGAAACAGGGATTAGCACAGTCCAACATAAAGTTAGGAAAATCTTAACAGTTCATAAATTGTCATCTGCAGAAAGAGGTGCATTAGTAACTATTGTTACTTGTATGTCAGCTAGTGGGCAATTTATTCCTCCAATGATGGTGTTCCCCAGAAAAAACATGAAAGCTACGAGAGCTACGAGACGTCGATAAGACGAGGGCAAGCGATGGTAATAGAAGAAAAAAGAAGCAGACAAAAAAGAATGAAAAAGAAGCAGGAAGAAAAAGTGAAAATGTAAAAAAAAAAACAAAACCAGCACAGTTATGTCCCAGTAACGAGGTCAATACACAATGACCACCTTTGTTACTTAGACGTAATTAGATAATATGATTACATCATGTATCGCTTCCTGGTACTTTATTATTTAGATAAGCCTTGTATTCATTAGAATTAATAAAGATCAGTCTTGCTCTGCTCTCCAAGCGAAACACATCTAAAATATTGTTTTTAAAAACCCTTTTGCATTCGCCCACAATCTAACTGGCGCAGTCGGTACGTCGTGTTCTAAACGGTTGGAAGCTTTAAACACCTCTTTTAAGCAAGTATCCACGACGCGAAAAACAACCTACAGTGCGCGAACGGTAAAAGCAAGCAAAGCAGCAAACAGCCCAGCAGCAGTCCAGCACCAGCAGCTTGGAGAACAGCAGACTCAAGCCTACAAATTGGCAATGCTCGTGGGGAAAGCACACATTCTGTTTATTATTCCCGAGGTAATTTTTCAATCACTTTCCCACCCCAAAAGCACCCCAAGGTACGTCTAGTGTGAAAGTTTAATTAGTGTTATAAAATAACACACCATATCGCTGATTTACCTTCAATCCATACCTCAATCTTAGGGATTAAAATGGCTCGAGGAAAGAGTAGGGTTAATGATAAATCCTTAGTATTTGAGAAGAAAATCGAAACGGAATATTCCGCGTTCGCAAAACTCCTACCCACTTACGATGAGAATAGGAGAACTCTTGCGTTCTACATAGAGAACGTAGAGAATGCTCTAGAACTCATACACAATACAGAGGACTTAAGCATTACATGTCTCATTAGGAACAAATTAAAAGGGAAAGCTGCTGAAGCACTTTCTGAAAACCCAGGTGCAAGATCCTGGACCGAAATAAAACAGGTGCTGTTAAGAAAGTTTGGCGAATTTAGAACAGCAATACAGTTTATGCATGCACTAACACATGTCACGAGAGACAATACGTCTTTAGAAGCCTTCGGCGATAGGATTAGGGTACTAATGACCGCACTAATTGCAGCCGAACCGGATCATCAGACTCAATACGAGCAAATTGCATTAGAAACATTCCTAAAAAACTTAAACCCAATTACAGCACTTTCAATTAGGATTAAACATGTAGAAAATTTAGATCAGGCTGTCATACTTGCCAAACAGGAAGTAGACCTCAGGGTTAGACGACTACTACAAAGTAAATCCATCACCTCTAAAACAACATTTAATAATAAGTCGGGAAATCCTTGCACGATATCGAATGTTTTTATCACTGTCAACCTTTTTTTTTAGCACCCACTTGCACTGCACTAGAGTCCCGTCACATGGTTTGTCTACCAGTTCCCACGCACTGTTATTTTCAAAACACTGTAATTCTTCTTTTATTGCTTCTAACCACTGTTGCTTTTCTGGTCCTTGAAAAGCGTCCTGTAATGTTAACCCACTGGCATCATCAAACAAGTCCTCCGTGACGCACATGTTTGAGAGTCCAAAGCGTTCAGGTCGTTTCCTCTGCCTTACAGGCCTTCCTTCAGTAGCCTGAGTACCTAAATCTATAACAGAATCTTCACCTCTTGTTGTAGTTTCATAGGATGTCTCACTGTTCTCAGAATCATCCGGCATGTAGGTCTTGTCATGAAGATTGTCTTGATTATCTGTAACTGTGTCATCCTGATCCCCCACTAAATCTAAGCATCCTGGACTTGACTGTTGACTACCTGTAGATATCCCCACATCTTCGTTTTCTATCGGCCGATCTCAATATCCTACTAAAAGTTAAACTCAGGTAGCTACCAGAGTTTTACTGTTACTTCTGATCTGTCAGTAACTGCCGTCTCAATAAAGGTGATATCAGACGGGTCATTTTTTGATCATTTTATTCTTTCATTTTGCTTTTTTCACTGCAAGTGACACATCTAAACACAAAATGAAACATTAGTGCCGAATGAATTCATTAGTGAATCGTTCCAACAGTGTTGGATATTGGCATCTGTTATCTTTCACTCCCACTCTGAATGAACGAGAAATGAACGGTCTGAACACTGAGAGAACGTTCATTCGCGTTCGGCCATTTTGTGTCGAGTCCTGTAGCCGACAGACGTTTCGTTGTTATTTTTTCTGCATTCCAGCGCATGCGGCAAAATGGTGTTCAAGTGGAACGATCAAAATACATTGCTTTTTTTGGAGAACTTTAAAAACTATTGGAACCACAAAATTGATGAATACAAAGACCGAACAGTGCGGGCAAACTCTATAAAATCTCTAATTAGTGATTTGAACTTAGATGTTACTGAAGAAGATATAAAACATAAAATAAAGACGATAAGGACCCGCTATACAACAGAATTAACCAAAATAAAGCAGTCTACTAAAAGCGGTTGCTCTTCTGACGATGTCTATGTACCGACCCTGTACTGGTTTAAGCACGCAGAATTTCTAAGCAGCGTATGCGTCCCACGGCAGAGTACATCAAGTCTCGTAAGTAAGATACTTAATACTTAAACTCAAATAAAAACAAAGTAGACGAACAGTAAGTATAGGTTTATTCAGTATTATTAGTGGCAGTAGTGTTATTATATCCTCTTCTTATCATGTTCCATTGCCATGATACAGTGCATGAAGTGACAAACTTTTCTGCATATAAGTCACGCACGCGGCGGGCATTTTCACTGTGATTTCTTGCATTGGTTGGCGGTAAATCGCTTATTGCTAAAGACGGTACTTCTCGCCATTCTCCAGGTACAATGGATCCTGTGACCCAATCCTCAGTTTCCAATGATCGTTGTTGCACGTAATCCACTGTGGTTTCTCTGAGCCAATTATGTAGTGCACACGTCGTTTTAACAAGTTGTTCAACTTTTTGCACTGACAGTGGAATTGCCTTTTCATAGATTCGGAATTTTGATACCAATATTCCGAAAGTGTTTTCGACCACGCGTCGAGCTCTTGACAGTCGATAGTTAAATATTTTTTGTTTATCATTAAACTCCCCTCTAGTATTATATGGTTTCAAAACATCCGTTCGCAAAGGAAAGGCATCTGCCACGATTACGCCTTCCTTTGGGAAATTTAGAAGATTCGATGACAAAGCTTCATTCAATGTTGATTTATTAAAGACGGATGCATCGTTTGCCCTTCCGTTTGTCCCAACATCGATATAAATAAAATTATATTTCGCATCCACTACTGCCAATAGATGAATACTAAAATTCTTTTTATAGTCGAAATAGTGAGAACCTGAATTTCCTGGGCATCTTATATTCACCTATTTTCCATCAATTGCACCACAACAGTTTGGAAAGTCCCATAATCTATAGTAGTCTTCCATTATATTATTCCATTTATGTTGACTTCCAGGAACCTGTAATAATAACAGTGTCAACATTTTAATTACAAGATACACTGACTCAAAATGAAGACTGCTGAATCTGAGCAGACTCAAGGAACAGAAGACACCAAATTCTGAGATCAGTAGGAACAGAAGTAGTGGATTAAAGACACCATCTTATTCTCAAAAGCCAATTCTCTCCAAAAGGAAGATTGATATGCCGATTGATAGAGCAATCAAAGAATTAAAAACTATAAACGAGCAAGCCAAAGTCCAAACTGAAGATGAGTTTGATTTATTTTGCAAAAGTTTGGCAGTACAACTCAAAAAAATGCCCCTGAACAGGGCACTGATATGTCAGGAAAAACTTCAGTCTGTGATGACTCAGGAACGATTAGCACAAATGTCACAATCATTGCCTGAACTAATATACTCGGACTCCAGCTCTCAATCCCCATTTACTATCAACCAGTCATCTCTATATCAAAATATGACACCGGATAACTACCTTGTCACCCAGCAACATGTTTATCTGCAACCTGAGTCATTACCCATGAGTTCACCACAAGAGACCAATCAAATAACAATTTCTCAAACATCCACCCAAGAGAAAGAAAACATACTCTCACAAGCTCTGCGAAATGCTATGTAAATGTTGATTGTCTTTGTGTTTAAAATAAAATATTTCAAGATAATTTAATATTTTATTCAATCAAAAATAAGTATAACTGACCTTAATAATCTTTCCAAGTGCCGTCCAAATAGCTTCACATACTTCAAGAAAAAAGTAAGATATTGTATTTCGAGGCACTCTGTATAAAAACTCTAAACTTCCAAAACTATCGCCTGTAGCCAGGTATCTCAGTACAATTTGAAGTTTTATTCGGTTAGGTATGCTATGAATGAATGAATGTCGTGGTGGCCCGGAGGTTTAAGACGCCCACTTCTCATGCATGAGGGTGCGGGTTCGAAACCTACCAACGGCAAGTACCAATGTGACTTTTTCCGAGTTATATGTACTTTCTAAGATTATTTAGACACCACTGACAAACGGTGAAGGAAAAACATCGTGAGGAAACCTGGACTTATAATTTCTAATTATAAGTTTGAAATCGCCAACCCGCATTGAGCAAGCGTGGTGATTAACGCTCTAACCTTCTCCGTGTGAGAAGAGGCTTTGCTCAGCAGTGGGCATTTATAGGCTGTTGATGATGATGATGATGATGATCCGTGTGAGAAGAGGCTTTGCTCAGCAGTGGGCATTTATAGGCTGTTGATGATGATGATGAGGTATGCTATCTCTCATTAAAGTATTTTCTTTCGTTATTAACGGAGCAACAAGAAGTAGAAGTTCTTCAAATTTACTTTCATCATATTAGTTTTATCCTTCCGCTGAACGAATATGGTTGTGTATACGCTTGAACAACGCTGGGAAATATTGCGACATTACTTTGAAAATCATGGTAATGTTGCAGAATTTGTACGAAAATTGCGTACGGATTTTGGAAGAAACGAAGCACCGTCAGCTCCGTATGTTCGTTATCTTGTGAAAAAAGTGAAAGAAACTGGCATCCTCATCGATAAACCAACGCGTGAAAAGCCAAAAACAGTGCGTACACCCGAGAATATTGCTGCTGTGGCCGAAAGTGTGCGTGAAACGCCATCAACATCAGTTCACCGTCGTTCTCAACAATTGGACATTTCGGAGACATCACTGAGACGAATTTTACGTAAAGACCTTTGTATGACGCCGTACAAAATCCAATTGGTTCAGGAGTTGAAGCCAACTGACCATCCAATGCGTTTTCGCTTCGCTAAGTGGGCCTGTGATCGACTTGCAGAAGATGCCGATTTTGCCAAAAAAATCATCTTTTCAGATGAAGCTCATTTCGATCTTGTAGGGTATGTTAACAAGCAAAATTGTCGCATTTGGGGCACAGAAAACCCGCACGCATTCACTGAAAAACCGATACACCCAAAACGAGTCACTGTTTGGTGCGGATTTTGGTCCAGAGGCATAATTGGGCCATTTTTCTTCGAAAATGAGCAAGGAGCGGCCGTTACAGTCAACGGCGATCGTTATCGGGCCATGTTGAATGAATTTTTGTTTAAAGAAATTGAAAATGAGGATATTGGCGACATTTGGTTTCAACAGGACGGCGCTACGTGCCACACAGCCGACTCTACACTCGATGTTTTGCGCCCTGTTTTTGAAAATCGCATCATCAGCCGCAGAACTGATGTCGTTTGGCCACCTCGGAGCTGCGATTTGACACCGTTAGACTATTACTTGTGGGGTGCCGTCAAAGATAAGTGTTACGCCGACAAGCCAGAGACAATTGACGCTTTAAAGGACAATATTCGTGAAGCCATTGGTGAAATACAGCTGCACACAATCGTTAGTGCTTGAAAATTGGACCGATCGTGTAGGCTACTGCATGGCCAGCCGAGGTAGCCATATGAATGAAATTATCTTCCATCATTAACCGGAAAGATTGTACTTTCAAATAAAGAAATTTGAAAAAATATTCAGTAGTTTTTTTTTCATAGCATTTTCAAAAAAAAAAAAGTTATTTGGCGGACCCGTTATTTTGTTTAAAACCCTATAAATACCTGGAACATAAACAAAAGGGTCGTGCCACCTATTCGCGCCTTAATTTATTATAATTTATTTTCAGATTAAAGCTATACCGCTTGTAAAGGACAGCATAATTCTTCTTCTTGACATGATAATGAAATATCCAGTTATAACTACCAAAGCGACGAACGCAACCAATAACAAACTAAAAGAGGAAGCATGGAAGTCTATTGCATAGGAGTTCAGTGCTGTTACTGTGACGTTGATTCGCGAACCACAATAAAAACTTTAATTTTATATTCGGACTCGTGCCCTGGACAAAATAAGAATAAAATTGTTCTTGCTGCCGTCCATAACGCGTTGTTACAATCTAAACATCTAGAAACTATTCAAATGAACTTTCTTCTCCCCGGACACACGGAGATGACTGTAGACAGCATCCACTCGACTATTGAGCAGTCCGTGCGAAATACGATAGTGTGGGCTCCTTCTCAGTGGGTAACAGTGTGCCAGCTAGCCCGAAAAGAGCCAGCGCCTTATTATGTCGAAAACCTTACACATACTGACTTTAAAAATTTTGAAGAGTTCTCTGATAAATATTTCAAAGGAAACCTGGTTGGAAAAATAAGCAAAATCCGAACGGCAACATTTAAAAAATCTAATCCAAACGAAATTAAAATTAAGTATACTATGAAGAATGATGCACTGGAAGAAAAGATACCAATACATGCTAAACCTACGAGTCTCAATCTCACATATAAAACTTCGTTAGCAATTACCAAATCTAAAAACAACGATCTTAAAAAACTATGTGACACTAACGTTATTCCAAAAATATTTCATTCTGAGTACTTAAATTTGCAAACTAACAACGCTAAAGATCAACTAGTGGATACTGATATTGAAGATGAGACAGAGGAATTAGATTAGAAAATAATGCTATTATTTTTGTTTTATTTTTCGGCCATATCGCTATTTTGTAATAAAAAATATTTTGATTTCTTAAAAAAAATGTTTACGTTACCTTCGTTTATTAAACGTATCGTACGTATCTAATTAGGTTTAATTTACGTTTGAGTATGATTGATTTACTGTGCTATAATTTCTTTATATAAGGAAACTTACGATCTCATTAAGACTGATTGTTAATTAAGTTAAAGATGCGTAATAAAAAAATTCTAATGAACATAACCTTTTTTTAATTCTGATATAGTAATTATTCACCCATTTCAATACTACAACCTCTTAACTTACTATAAATCTGCCATTATTATCTTGTATCAACGACCAAGTTATATAAACTCCTTTCGAAACCCGAGACATCAAACAACTCATTTAGTATGTTCATCGTTACTTAAGCTAACTTGCCTGTATCGTTCACAAAACCCATCCGGTAGTTAAACAAAATAGCCTATTCCTATTATTACTGAGTAACGTCGATTCAATCATTTTGCTTTCTCCTACATAAGTACCGTAAAGTCACTTAAAGCATTTTGCCTGCTTCTGATTAGTGACAGTGTTGGGAGTTAAATCATTTTTCTCTGCTCTAAAAATAAGACGATACAGATCATTTTGTATCAAGCGACATTTATCTTAGAACTCATAACTGTTTTTTTATTAAAAAATATACCAAAACATAAAGGGTTTTTTTTTGTAATAAAGATTTGCGATCCCCATTAAAGTATCTCCAGTAGTTTTTTATAACGAATTTTTTTCCAAATTTTGAATCTTTAAATGGCTCTCCTGTAAAGTTGGTAAAATGTCGCTTCATACAAATAGCCTTTCACCCCTCGACTTAATAGAAAATATTATGCTTATACTCACTTTTAATAATGGAATTGTTAAATATAGTAGCATCATGAGCAGACCCTGGCCACCGAGCAACTACATTCATAAATAGCAAGTCTGCATTACAGACTCCTTGAACATTCATTGAGAATATTCCTTTCCTATTCCTGTACTCTTCTCCTATATTAGAACCTAAAAATAAAAATATCTTATTTATTCATTTAGATCTGAGTAAGTGCAAGCTTTGTAAAAGGAATAAAAGCATGACTCAAGCATTTTAACAGTAAAAATGTCAACTCACTGGGTGATTGTATGGGTATATGTGTACAGTCAATTGCTCCAAGTACTTTGGGGAATCCTGCAATGGCATGGAAGGCATGCTGTGTGTTTTCCAAAACTTTAACATATTCAGGATACAGTCCAGCTATTGCACGAGATACATCAGACACAATTCTGCTAGCCGTTGCTTTAGAAACTCCAAAGAAGTCGGCAACAGATACAAGCATTGTGCCCAATGCATAAAATCTAAGAGTGAGCAACAACTGGTGTAGTGGAGATACACCATAGTTCCTGAAATAAAATGTTTAATTAGTTATAAGTAGGTCATAAATTAAAAAAAATATCAAATGTTTAGTTAACAGCTAAATTCATTGGTCCATTACTTTTGTTAATTTTACTTGATAACTTTAGATGAAGTACTAGAAATAATTTACTCACCGGGAGGATTTCACTCTCAAATTTGGTAAAATTTTTACTAATAACTCATTAACACTACTTTTATTTAATCTAAATCTGAATGTAAATTCCGAGTCAGACAATTCACTTTCATAGTTAATGCGACTGTACACTGTGCATTCACCAGATATTGTAGCTGTCGCAGAATCAAATACACCGGCTTCATACATCTCATTATCACTTTCATCACTAAACAAATCCATTTTATTATGAAATAAGTTGTAATTACTATGAAAACCAGCAGTAAATCGCCCGATTTCGGGAGATAGCTAATTTTAAACTGACAGTTACGAAAACAAACTAAAGTTAACTGTCAAAATGTTATTGAGACGCTCTACATTTTTTTTCTATGGATTTACATATCTATGGTAAGCGGTAAGCCCTCCCAATGGTAGATCAAAGTAAAGATAGATATTCCTATCTATCTTTAGTTTATTGAAACGCAAAAATGCGTTTGTAGCTACTAAAGATCGGTAATGTAACAGATAGTCAAAGGTAAGTATGTTATTGAGATCGGCCGTATATGGATCTGACACTGTTCATTGTTTCTTGTAATTGGCTTTTCTTTCTTATAACTTAGTGGATCTTCCATTATAACTACATCACGACTTGTAGTTACACATCTTGTTTCTTCTGATTATATCCTGTAGCCTTTAACATTGTCAGGATATCCCACCAAAATACACTGCTTGGATTTTTTGTCCCATTTCTGCCGCTTTTGTTTCGGAATATGTACCATGACACGACTACCAAATATTCTTAAATGACTAACATCTGGTTTGTGACCCGTCCACAACTCGTAAGGAGTCTTGTCATTTAGCCCTGATGCTATTGACCTGTTTTTAATGTAAATAGCGGTATTTGCTGCTTCACCCCAAAACTTTATTTCCAACCCAGCATCGAACAACAAGCATCTTGCCTTTTCTACTACTGACCGGTTGTAGCGTTCACACAGACCATTCTGCTCCGGAGTATAAGGATTGGTCTTTTGATGCAGGATACCTTCTTGCGCCAAATAATCTTCAAACTCCTTGCTGCTGTATTCTAGTCCATTGTCTGAGCGTAATATCTTCATCTACTTATTCTGATGGTTTTCTACCATTGCCTTAAACATTTTAAATTTCTTCATAACCTCACTTTTTTTATGTAAGAAATATATAAAGGCCATCTTACTGTAATCATCCACAAAAAGTAAGAAATATCTTGACCCACCTATGGTGTTGTGTTCCATGGGTCCACATATGTCTGTATGTATGATCTGGAGAGTCTCCGTGCTTCTCTCTCCAACTTTTGTGAATGGCAACCTACACTGTTTTCCTTCACAACAAACCATGCAATTTGATTTACTTGCATCACTCCTGCCACTATATTCTAAACCATCAACTGCTCCATTCTTCATCTTTTGCATGTCATTGCAATTTATGTGTCCTAATCTTCTATGCCAGGTCTCTGCAGTCACTGCCCCCATAGCAACCAACTCTCTAGAGTGTAAATTAAGTTTATACACTCCATTTCTGAGATTTGCATCCGCTACAAGTTCATTCTTGGCATTATAAATGCAGCACTTGTTCGATTCGAAAACTACATTGTTTCCATTTCTAATCAATTCGCTGACAGACAGCAAATTCGTTGTGAGACTTGGTACGCACATAACGTTGCTTATTGTAACTTCGTAATCAAAGCTTGTAGTAATCCTAATGTCTCCTGAACATTTCACTGGTACTTTCGTTTGATTTGCTACAATAATCTCGCGCAAACCCGGTGAGGTCGAAATATTCGTCAACCAATGTTCATTTGCTGTTAAATGGCCACTTGCGCCTGAGTCTATGTAAAAGTCTTCTTTACTGAAACTCGCAGTCAGAAATACAGCACTAAAAGCGTTTGTTTGTTTCTTATTTTCTGTATTTTCACTTATTTTGCACTGGTTTTTATAGTGACCGGCCTGTTTACATCGATAACAATAGATCGTTTTTTTATCTTTTACATTGACTTTTGATGACGTTCCATTGTTAGTGTTGCCATATCTCTTTTTATTTTTCTGCCATCCTTTAGCTGCAAAAGCTCCATTCGATTCCGTTTCACTCGAGCCCGGTGGTTCCATATCAATTAGTTTCGTCTTGATGACATCTGCGTTGATAGGAATGCCCGAATGCTCTATAGCCATTATCATTGGGGTATACTTGTCTGGCAAGCCCGCCTGAAGTAATGAACCTACCCACTCATCACTTATATTAAATCCTGTGCCGTTTAATTTTTGCGATGTTTCGATGATCTGCGTTACATATGTCGTCATCGACTCACAATTTTCAAGCCTGATAGATATTAAATGACGTAATAGCGGAATTCTCCTAGAAAACCCGGAATCGTCGAACAATGATTTCAACTTGTCCCATAGTTGTTTTGTCGTAGTCGTACTCTTGATATGAACATATAAAGACGAATCGTTAAAATCAATTTCGCTCTTGCTTTAGCATCTGTTGTAGCAGCTGCTGCGTCCGTTGCCGCCGGCTCTTTCTTAACCTTTTCCGCGTAGCCGTCAAGGACAAGCAAATTCTCTGCCGCAAACACTCGTCGTAGTTTTCTCTGCCCTTAAGTTTTGGCACATTTACTACATAGTTCGAGGATGACATTTTCACCGCACAATATATACTTATACTGGATAAACTTATTAATTTTTAAATTGAAATTCGTGAGGGCACCATAACCTCTAAGTAAATCACAGTGTATCCAGCGAGTGAATGAATGATTTTTATTTTGAATCTGTAACATAATTCTCACACCAGGTGGCAGGACATACAACACAATACTCATCTTGACATTAATAAATCCAACAGGTGCCAATAATATCGCCGCGACGGCGGCTTCGGAGCTGGAGCAGCAAAAAACTCATAATAGATACGAGCTGTATCTGTTGTTTATCATCACTTGCATCTTAGCTGCAATTCTATATTTGCAATGGAAACGCTGCAAGGTGAACTACGCGCGCTACATGAGATGCGAGCTATGCGAGCCTACGGTGGAATGGCGAGGAGGTGACAAACGCTCCAACAGCGGACCACCTCCGCAACCAACGCGAGTGATCATATAAAGTGAATGGTGATCTAAAAGGTGTATAGTGGCAATGTGACAAACACGCGCGAATCATGGTACCGTATGATTATAGTTTATAAGCATTTTAAGCATATTATAGATCATACTATTTATGTAACCATAACTTTTATCTTATGCTATAGAATAATATCATGCAATGTAATAACCATAAGATAATGTATAACCTTATTAGCAATGCATGTTATAACTATAAGGAATCTTAGATATAGCTAGTAGCATATGTATATGTATTTAAAAATCATTATATTTTTATTTTATAAAGGGGGATGTACTGTGCCTACAGCACATCAGTATTGTATTCAATATTGTAAAGAGAGCATCAATAAACGTTCCGTTGAATACTAACGCACACCCCTCGCCTCGCCACTCAACACGTCGCGCCATTCATTTGAAACGGAGGAGCCATAAATTAAAAAAAAAATGAAATGTGACGTGACCCGCGTGACCGTCAAAGTGTCAAAGTGAATCTTCATAACCTAAAAAAATATTTTAAGAAAATACTATTTTTCAACTTCCTGCTCAATTTAATTGGATTCAATTATGGAAATAAGCAGTGACAGTGAGGAAGAGCAGAATGTTACTCCTACTAAAAAAAGAAAGCTGCATTATGAACAAAAATACTTACAATTATGGGAAAAAGACAAAAATTATTCCAGTTGGATTAAAAAAAGCAACAAAGGAGATTACTATTGTTATTGTAATGTATTTTTTTGTAATGTTAATGTTAAATTTTAATGTAAAAATTTTAACAATGGAGTTACTGTTGATAATGAAATTGATCGCTTTATAATAGAAGTACTAGATGAATCTAGTACTACGATACTTCTGATGACAGTGACTCTAGAGATAGTGATACCAGTATTATATCCGGTGTTGGGCCTTTGCACGAGCACAATTATTTAAAAAAATAATATTATTGTTAAATCATTAATACACAATTATTAAGGTTAACTAACAGGAGTTTTTATTTGTATAAATAGGTTATACACCCCATCTGTAATATCAGGTAATCAATATTAATATAAAGTAATATAAAGGAAATAAACCAGTTTTTTATTCTATTATTACATACAAATATAATTCCCCGATTATTATGTAATATAATCATCACTACCTGGCCACACTCAATTTAGCGCTACCAACATGACAGCGAAGGGAATTCTTTGGTGAAACGCACTCTACTTCGCACATACATCTTTGGCAGCTTTGAAATTTTGTAGACAAAATCATATCCATATGCTGACTATCCCACTTCACAGCACGCATAAAATGCAGCCCCTTGAAAGGTGTTTCTTTTCACCGTTGAAAAAATATTATGCCAATGAGTGTGAAAAGTGGATGTTAAACCAGCCGGCAAGGGCTATAACTTTTTATCAGGTAGCTACTTTATTCAATGCTGCTTACATGAGGACAGCCAATATTTCAAATGCTGTAGCAGGATTCAAAGTAGGAGGAATAGTCCCCTTCAATCGAGACTTATTTACAGACGCTGCTTTTCTAGCCAGTGTAGTAACTGATAGACCCGTTGAATATGCTAACGTTTTAATTGATGCGCGGAATGAGACAGGTACTTCCACACAAATCCCGTCGTGTCCTATTGCGGTACCTAAACAAGTAGCGGGTATTCCTGCTTCTAGTGAGCATCTACCTGAAGAAGTACAACTGAGTGATGATATACCTGTTCAAGTTCCTTCTACTCCTACCCACACTGTACTGCAAGAAGAACCATTGCTCAGTGACATGTCATTAGACCAGATGATGAGTGTTCGCGATCCCGTCGATAGTATTTTGCCAGACGAGGATAAACAGCTCTAGAACTATAACTACTACACCTGTAAACTTTATTGCAAGAGAACCATGTTCTAATGACAATAGTGGAAGCCCTTCAATTTTAACCGATAGTACACATCGATTGAATATGGAAAAAAATCCCAATCTTCCAAAAGTTCATCTAAAATATTGAAACAATCCACTCTTCCAACCGTCTTACCAAATAAGTTAGTTTCGACAAGTTACTTGTAAATTATTTAATGGAGACCATGTCACCTATATCAATTGTAGAAAATGAATCCTTTAAGGCTCTAATTGACACACAGTGCACAGCAATTAAGTGATCCACCGAAAATAACGTGCAGGTAAACATGTAATAAAA